ATTATTTCTCAACTGTCTCAATACAGTGTAACTGTCCTCAAAATATTTATTATTATTATTGTAACAGACTTTTTTGGATTGTAAATGACAAAGTCTATAATACCGGTATGATGTACTAGCGCTCGTTGTATGCGTGTATGCAATGTATTTTTCCCCTCGGGGCTTGCCGTAGATGGGTCGTGCGCACTTAGTACGGTCGCGGTTTTTGGAGTTAGTGATGATGATGTGTGATATAAAAAAGAGGAGAAGAGTTCAAAAGCGCCTAAAGCGTCAGATATTGAAGCATGGTCAAATGCTTCCCAAGGCGTCAGTTAGGTGACGCCTTGGGAGTGAGAATGGGCTCGTTCAAACGTCCCCCCAGGTTCCTACGCCAGTGGTTAAATGTAACACGGACTTTTTACATACTAGTTCGTCAGGATCCTCTTATTCTCTTGCTGCCTGAAGACCTCCCGCGAATTTGCGGAAAGTTTTGATAATATTTCGTGAAGATACTGGACAAAGAGTGTTTTGACACCATGAAAGTAAATTTTTTCATCATAGATTTTTTTCGGTTTCTGACTTTATACTGCCTTAATCACTGTCTTGTTGGCTCAAACATAGCACCGTTTTGAAACATGTCAGCAATTCATAGCGACTGTTAGCTAGGTTTAAAATATGTAATACGGTTGGTTGTAACACATAGTTTCAATAAGCCGCCAACAATGATAATCAAATGAAAACGGAGCCACACAACTTTTCAGTTTTAAGTATACATTTAACTTTGTTGGACTTTCACAAACAATGTTGGAATTTAAAATGTTTGAAATTTAGTTTACTATGAATGATAACTTGTTTATTTATTAAAAAATGCCTGTTTTAATGCAATAAACCCTTTAAACTTTTTATTTTAAGCTCATTTGTATTATTATTACTGTTATTATTATTAATTATAATAATTGTACATGCAGCTGCCACACACAAATCTAATTTAATTGCAATTACAATGTTTTATAATTTGATTTATTATTATTTATTGCAAAACTGTGCTGCCCTTTTTCTATCCATGATATTGATCCACAATAGAAGGATGATTGGATGAGGGATGGATGTATGGATATCTGTCTGTACAGATGCACAAACAATATCAGACTATACAAATAAAATAGTACTGAATTATGTGTGTTACACACAAGTGTTACAACTAACCCCTCTGTCTGTTACAATTAACCCCGCATATGGGGTAAGTTGTAACATTTGCAATTATGTCACTTTCAGTCCAACTGTACAATAATGGTAGGTCCTAGAAAAAAACTTTAAGTGTTCATTTGTAGCAGAGATGTGTATGTTGCTTGTGTAAAAAAAAAATTTAACCTAATTACTTTTTAATTAATTGAGCCAAAACCAAAATGCGTTGTTGTGCCCCGCTCTCCCCTACCACCCTTTAAGAACAGGTGCGCATGTTGTATTGTTATTGTTGGATGACGGATTGTTATTATCGCGCCAGCTGCCAGGAGCGTTCACAGCCGATGAGACCGACGTTCTTCTCAGGGCAGTTAAAAGACAGAGAAGTGGCGTTGTATGGGGATGGATGGGAGAAACCGTCGCACATCAGCGTCGGTTAAACATTATATACATATGTTTCTTGCCACTATTGGGCAAACAGGTCTGATCCTTTAGTAGGCCTACTACAATTATAGCCTTAAAAAATGGGTAATACGGTTTTATTATCTTAATGTAAGTCCCACCCACTTTTTACGCCACTGTATGTAAAGCACAATGATTTCCCTCATGTTTTAATATTTTTCCCTGTTATAATGTATGATTTGCAAAAATAAAAACTGCTGCATCTGTGTTGATGAGAGAATCCCCCACCCACCCACACACACACACACACACACTTTATACACATACACACCAATAAATTTTGATTACAAAAAGTATGTTTTGGATTTTTAAAAATCACAGCTTCATCGGAATGTTACGAAACTTGTAACTAGGTGACTTTTATGGCATTATGTATGTGAACACACAAAAAATGAGGTCATGATCTGAGCATACTAAGTGGTCTTAAAAAAAATAGTCACTCTTGTGGTCTTTGGTCAAAAATGGCCCCCATAAATGAATTGGAAATTGACAAAAACACAAAAATTCACAATTTGTTTTTGAGATTGTTTCAACTATATATATTATAATCCACCAAAAAAAAAAAAAAAATGTGTTCATAAACATCTGGGGAATTCACATGCTTCTCCATAGAGAGCTGTACATGCTATCTAGTGGTTACACCATGATTCTATGCTTTTTCTCTATACTGTAACCAGATGGTGCTAATTTTCTTCAAAAAATATTATTTTTTCTGAAGGCCTAGACTCTATATTAAACTAAAATACTGCATTAATAATAAATAAATAAATATATATATATATATATATATATATATATTTCCATGGCAAAATAGACCATTAATATTGCATAAATATTAATAATTTCAATCAACTTGTCTCAAAATACTAAATTAAATTAAATTAAACAAAAATAAATTGCATTGGTTTTACTGGGATGGAGGACATTTAATTTTTAGGTGTCCGGTCACTTTTGACCGGGAGGATAACAAGTGTGACTCCGAAACGAAGAGCACCTGAGGGTTAAGCCCGAGGTGTGCAGGCCGGTGTGGCGAAGCCCGATTCAAGGCTTCTCGCAAACGACTTGTGTCTAAAAAATCCTCAATTGTGTGGTGTCATTATACGATTATTTACCTGTTGCCGATTACTTCGAAGCCTGCACGATCCCAAATTCTCCTGATTTGTTTTTCTTCTCAGGTCACGTTTTATCTGATCTCGCTAGTCTCCGTGATGTTTACTACAATCACAGTTGTGGTCTCGCAGTCTTGACGAATCTTGTGTGTGTTTTCGAAGGATTATTATAATGCTCAAAATCAGTTGAAACTACCTTATGTCTGTGGACTGTGGTCTCCCAAAGTTTTAAAAATGGTTATGATTTGAAAATCATTTGTGTCCCAGGCTTAAGACAGTAAATCAGACATGCAGAATGGCTGCTCATAGTGCTCTGGTGGCCCCACTTAATATTAAATGTCTTTAATGTATTAAAATTTAAGTTAATCATTTGACACATTTCACCCAGTCTGTACATTCATGTTTTTACTTTGTACATATTTATTAAAACACCTGCATGTAGTGGTATATTTATACTACCGACCACTCCCTTACACCTTGAGTTAGTTTACCCCAAAATTTTGTCAGTAATTACTCACCCTTATGGTGTTTCAACCCTGTACTAAGACATTTGTTCATCTTCAGAACACAAAAAATGAAAATTTTGTCAGTAATTACTAACCGTCATTTGTAACCCCATAAAACTTTCGTTCATCTTCAGGACACAAATTAAGATATTTTTGATTAAATCTGAGAGCTGTCTCACTCCTTCAAGGCTGCTTCAGTCTCTTTTCATCTCTCCTTCAAAGCTGTTATTTGTGAGTTATTTTTGCACAAAAAGTATTCTTGCAGCTTGATAAACTTAAGGTTGAGCCTTTATAGACTCTTGGACTATTTTTAACAATGTCTTTACTAACTTTTCTGGGCCGGCAGAATGCAATTACCTAGCAGCCTATGAAGGAGTGAGACAGCTCTTAGATTTCATCAAAAATATCTTAATTTGTGTCCTGAAGATGAACGAAAGTTTTATGGGGTTGCAACTAAATGACGGTTAGTAATTACTGACAAAATTTTCATTTTTGGGTGAACTAACCCTTTAACCTGCCCTTAAACCTAACCATACCACCAAATAGCAGCAAAAGTGTTTTGCAATACAACGTGAACACTTGAATTCTAACAATCATTTTTTATGTAAGTACAAAGTAATACAATATTTGAGATGTGAAAAACTTAATGACAAAGGAAAAACACCCAAAAGTTAACATTCATCATACAAAATTCAGAGGTTAATATAAACAAACATTTAAAGACTAAACACCTGTTAACATTAGTAAACTGTTAAAGGGTGTACTTTTGTATATAGTTGGTGCTGCCATATCACGGTTATTTTCAGTCATAAACAAAAACTATTCAGACTGCATAACAATACTAGGTAGGAGTGCACTTTTAACTGTAAATTGTAATAATAATAATAATTTTCAAAGATTCTACCTGTAATGATGTCGGTGTAGTGAATGGGATGGAAACATTATTCATGTTTGTTATGCAACTGACTAATATTTATAGGAACCAGTCATTTATGGAAATGTGAACAACGCAAAAGCACAAACTCTTTTGCTATTTTTACAAATGTCTATTGTAGTATATTTGTTCTTTCTCTCTCATTTACACAGAAAAAGTATCTAATGTCAGTCTTATTGGTCCAAAAGAATTATTAATAGAGGGCAACTCATCTGCTAACATCACCTCTGAGGGAACTGGCACCATCACCTCTGTGGAGTGGATTAAAGATAACAGTCCTCTGTCTCCTAGCAACCGCATCATCTTCTCACCTGATAACAGATCAGTGTCCATCAGTCCAGTGCAGAAATCAGACAATGGGGAATATCAGTGTACTTATAGAAATCCTGTCAGCTCTGAAATGGCAAAACTCCCTCTAATCATCAACTGTGAGTGTTAAACATTTAAACATCAAGATGACTTAAGATCAAAACTGATAAAATAGACATACTTCAGTACTGTGTGTTCCTCTAACAGTGAGTCTCTTGTGTTTGTTCTAGATGGACCAGAAGATGTTTCTATAAACGGTCCGGATGTGGTGGATTTAGGGGTCAGTGTGTCTCTGTCTTGCTCTGCTAAATCTATACCTTCTGCCTCGTTCAGCTGGAGGTTTAATGGAACAGACACCAATGTGACCACAGACACTTTCACCATAGCTGAGACTGACTTCACACACAGTGGAGATTACGAATGCACTGCCTCGAATAATGTCACAAAGAGAAGCAACTCACAAAGACATGCTTTACTAGTTAAAGGTAAAAACCTAAAACTAACCAAAAATGTTTTGTTGCAGTTTGAGAACCAATGCTTTGATCTTAATTTACCTATTAAGGCATGTTATATATTTTTGTAAATGTTTAAAAAATAATAATAGGTACTTTTATGAAATTTTGTATTGCTTTAAGTTTCTAAGGATACAATTATCTGCATAGGAATCTGCTACATAAATTAAATAAAATGCACCCATTAGAAAGACATTAGACAATGCATTTCATATACCTTCATACTGCATGCTTAATTTTTAGTTTAGTTTTTTAATCACAATCTTGGTACAGGTGTATTACAGTAAGTATTGTGTGCAGTACATGATCTGTTGTTTATCTTTATCTTAGTAGGTGGTGGTGGTGGAGGAGGGGGACTAACAACAGGAGCGATAGTTGGGATTGTCATTGGAGTATTAGTGGTTGTTGCAGGCATTTGTGGTCTTATCGTCTATTTAACAAAAACCAAGAAAATGTGAGTAAAACAATCTGTTTCTGAATTATGTGCAATAACATTGACTTTCCCTAAAATATGTCATTATCTATGTAGGTCTGGTTGTATATGGGTGCTAGTAGGTGCTAAGCACCCTCAATTAAACGTAAGAGAGCACCCTTAGTTAAAGGGGTGGTAAAGAATGATTTCTCTTTTCCAACTTTAGTTAGTGTGAAATGTTGCTGTTTGAGCATAAACAACATTATCAAAGTTACAATGCTCAAAGTTTAAAGCAAAGGAAGATATTTACTTTTTAAAAAAGCACTACAACAAAAGGCTGGAAGGGACTACACGACATTCCTCCCCAACGCATTCTCAACCCAAGGCGTCACCTTTGACCATGCTTCAATATTTGACGTTTTAGGCGCCCTTTAGCGTCACTTACATGACGCGATCCTACGGCTTCATCTAACTGACGCTAAAGGAAAGCGTCAGTTAGAGCAGTGGTTCTCAAAGTGGGGTCCGCGGACCCCTGGTGGTCCGCGAGCTAAAGCCAGGGGGTCCGCGAAATAATTTACAACCTAACGTATTTTTCCATGCTATGAGTCATGTTTTCTTTATCATCTGAAAACATGCTGTTTATTCCTAAGTAACTTATATAAAGCATTTAACATAAAACAATACAAAGTAGACACTTAAAGTTTTCTATAGATAGATAATCTATGTCTTTGCGTCAAGTAGACTATTCGCTGCTGTTGATTTTGCGGGACGTGCGCCAGAAAGGAGACAGAGAGACGGCATGAACCCGCATCCGGTTCTTTTCTGTATTTTTAAAAGGCATGACATTTTGTAGTCATTTATAATGTAGCCTATACACCAATAAAAAAAATGGACACTTTACCGTTTCGGATGATGCACTCTTGTCTTATCTATGACCATAAATAAGAGTATTCCTGTTTCCACTGCTGAGGAAAAATTCCCATGTAATTGCGCGTAGGCGTCTCGCGTGCGCGCACAATAGTCAGTTCTAGCACTGCTACTGTAGATTTGACATTAGAAGTCTGATCATTATCAAAATAAAAGTGCATAGTGACAGGGCCGTACCCACAACTGAGGTTGCAAGGATGCACATCGCGATGATACTGACCTTCTCGTCTGAGGTGCTTCAGCAGACTAACAACGATAGCTCGTCAATGTCAAAATGTTTGAGTCGGAGTGAACTCAAAGTTCCCCGCACGACGTTTCAGTCAACGGTCATAAAGTGCGAGATAAGATGTAGGCCTTAATTAACATAAACTAAACAGCTGTTTTAGATAAAAGTTTTAAAAAACGACTGAAACAATCAGTTTGCAAAGTATTAATCATGCTCAACTTTAACAAAGGAAAAAGCAGGTCAATAGAAACATACTGTGCGAGATTAACATTATGGATTCATATTTAACATATACTGTATGTTTTTTTTAGCTAATTACAGTAGCTCAAATTAACAACGCACGCACCTATTAAACATAATGCCATTATCATTGTATTTATAGGCTTATGGGCTTTATTTGTGTGCAGAATAGGCCTAATTATTTAAACATTTCTCTTTTAAGGCCATTCCTGATTGGAATATGTGATTGTGTTTCGTGACATCTTGACAAAAAAAAAAAAAAATGTATGCCACTGACTGACATGCTTCTACTAAATCTATAGTTATCCAATTGTGGGGCCTTAAAACACCTTAAAATGCACATGTGTAGATCAAGAACATCAAAAATTCCTAAGTGAGGGATCCTAAGTGATTCCTAGCAAGATCACTTTCGTTACCTCAGTAGGCTATTTAGAAATTCCTGCATAGTACCCTGGGTGGAGACCATTCATTTTGTGCAAAAATATTTCATTTGCTGCTCACACATTAACTTTGTGCTCAATAACTGTTATAAATATGAGGGGGGTCCTTGGAATTTTTTTTCCCCTGAAAGGGGTCCCTGGCACCAAAATGTTTGAGAACCCCTGAGTTAGAGGACGCGGTTAGGTTTAGGTGTGGGGTGGGGGTAGGGTACACGCGATCCTAGGGCGTCATATAACTGACGCTAAAGGGCGCCTAAAGCGTCAGATATTGAAGCATGTCCAAATGCTTCCCAAGGCGTCAGTTAAGTGACGCCTTGGGGGTGAGAATGGGCTGTCCTCCCAGGTTAGTGACATCACCAACTCTAAAATGTACATGAACTCCACCCCAGGAACACAGTCCATGTTGAGAAGATGAAAAGTTCTTGTATAAGAGTACATTTGTGAGTCAGCTCAAACTTTAACATCCATCTTTTCACATGCAAAAGAAAGTCACTCTGTGTGCATCTCACAACAGTTCCTATACGAGTGATATATCGATTACAATGACAGTATTTCCTAATTGAAGATAGTTAACTTCACATCAGCAACATAAATTCATCAACTAACCATTCTACATGTTGCCACTTCTTCCTGAGGCTCTCTGTCTTTGACTGACTCTGTTTTAACATTAAAGGGAGAACAGTTTCTGACATTTTAGTGTGTCTGCACAGAGCCTGGCTAGCGCTTCCCAGCCCGTCTCGCTGGCTCATCCATACCATCAGACTCAGATATGCAATTAAGTTCGCCCAGCATCCCCTGCCTTCACCAGGCAGAGATTGCAGTCGTACTGGCGAAGGACGCAATTGAGCCCTCCAGCCAATATGAAGACTGACTTTTTTAGCCCGTACTTCATTGTACCCCATAAAGGTGGTGGATTACGACCTATCTTGGACCTGCGTGTCCTGAACTGGTCCCTTCACAAGCTGCCGTTCAAGATGCTTATGCAGAAATGCATTTTCAAGTGTATCCGTCCCCAAGATTGGTTTGCAGCGATCGACACAGACAGTTTCTTCGCTCTGTGTTCAAGGGACGGGCATATCAGCACAAAGTCTTACCCTTCGGGGTGGGCTGGCCCTGTCGCCCTGTCTTTACAAAAGTCGCGGAGGTGGCCATTGCTCCCATGTGCAAGCATTGTGTTCATATCCTCATCTACCTTGGCTCCTGGGGCATATGGCATCTGCAGTCGCGGTAACACCGCTCGGATTGCTTCATAATGAGGCCGCTCCAACTCTGGCTCCACGGTCGAGTCGAGCCGAGATGGTCAAGGCAGAGCGGCTCGTGCCGGTGGGTAGCATGAATCGTCAGAACACCGGATCCAAGTGACCACGCACTGTCACCAAACTCTTAGCTTGTCGTCGGGCCCTTCGTTCCCACGGGTAGGTGTTTCCCTAGAACAAGTGTCCAGACATTCTATGATCTCCACGGATGCCTCTGCCACCGGCTGGGAGGCCATGTACAATGGGCATGCAGCTTCAGATCTGCCAGATCAACTGCCTTGAGTTGTTAGCAGTAAATCTTGCGCTGGGCCGCTTCAAAACGCTGCAGAAGCACCCTCAGTGATTTAATTCTGAATCTGGGCCTGTATTTATCTGATAATTAAAGAATTTCAGTATAAGAACTGTAATAAGCTGCTTATTTGTGAGGCAAAAATGTAGTAAAAATAAACAACTTCTTGTAACAAAATATGTTTGGCTTTACACTACAGACCAAATCTAACCCTTCACAAAAATGGACGGGCAAGTGGAGGTAGGTTTATTTATTCATAATTTCAACACAAGTTCTGATTGAAGCAACACTACTGACTTCACCAATTATAGCAAGATTGACGATGATACTGTCCATCCCATAACAGATTTCAGATGATCTATTCATCTTACAGATGATTCACAACATTTCTCTCAGTATGAAACTTATTGAATGTTTCTTTCTTTAAACAGCACCTGCATCACAAAGCAGACAACAGCCTGTGAGTGACTTTCAAATTTAGTTTTCTCCTCATCACAGCCATTTTTACATTTTATTCTTTGTATACCTGATTTAAAACTTTAAATCTGAGGTGAAATGGCACATTACAAACACTTAAAGGTGTGTTTTTTAGTGGTGTAGTAACTGATATTCAGTTGTTCTGCCTCTTCTGTCTCTTGACTCTTTTATCTCATATAGGCAATTAAAGAGTGTATGGCTTTTATAGCAGGAAGGATGAGTGTATTTTAAAAGTCAGTTCAAAAGAACTTTAAGCTTTTAGAAATGACCGCTGTGAACTTTAGTTATTGGCTTATATTCAGTAATTTTGATTATCATGATCATTTTCACTGTTTAAAAGTGACACTTGTTTTTTAGCATTTACAAATCAGCAATTTTTTCCACATTTGTTTCACCTAAATTGACACCATCATTGTGTATGACTTTGTAATTTAATAAAAAATAATTGACTATTTGTAGGAATTGAACTATGCAGACATAAGCCATTTTCAGAAGGCTGGTGGAGAGAGAGTGATTCTGGGGAGTAGTAGTGAGCCTAGTACAGAGTATGCAGAAGTAAATCCTGGAGCCAAGTCAAAGGCTCCTCCACCTCCCTATGGAAGTCAGGTGAGTAGTTTCAAATAATAAATGTAGCCCATCCCGCTGTAGAACACCATATGTGTACTTTAGCTGCAATATAACTGTAATGCATCATAAAATAAGTGCCATTTATTCTGTCCTGCAGCCATGCAGTAAAACAATATGGTCATTTGTTTGCTTTCTTTTATCATATGCTTGTGCAACGTCTCCCTTCAGGTATCAAACCCTCCTCTGCGCAGGTGAGGAAGTGAAGACACTGAAATCTACTGCACTGAGTCTTCCAAATATTGCACATTTACCACATTTTTTGTTTCTTGAATTTAGCTTTATTTTGCTGATCGTTGTTGTGTAATTTAAATATACAATTTTTATGATAGTTTTGAATGCAAGTTGACCTGTCAGGCTGTGTAATTGTTCTATTTTAATAATAATGATAGGAGAGAGAGGGGACGGGAGGGTGGTAACACTTTTTGCTTCAACATCTGTTGTTCAGGGCTATTCATCTTAAATTTTGAAACAATGTTCCCAAACATATCTGATATGAATTGATATTGTTTTCGAAATGTACAACTTGTTATGAAATCTCTCTATTGTGAAAAATAATGTCACATACAAAATTACATTACAACATACTATCTACAGGAGTGAATTGTAACAGGATACGTGGGGTGCAACGTTATAGAGAAAGCATGTATATCTGTTTAAATTTTGCACACTCATGTATTTATTTTTATTCAATTGAACTGAAATAAATGACTGAACACATAAAACATGGCCTTTCGCCGTTGTCAAATATCAGCTTATACAATGTCCAATTTTGTTACAACCCTTTCCAGCTCAGAGATGACAGTTCCAGTCAAACAAGAAGCTGTGGATT